CCACAGAACCCTTTTCATCTTGCATCCCTCCTACCTCAGTCCCTGGCAACCATACTTTGTCTTTATGAATTTGACTACTTTAGATCTCTCACAGAAGTGGAATCATATGGATTTTTGCAAGTGGCTTGTTTCACTTAGAACTATGTCCTCAAGGGTTATCCATATGTTCGAATTTCCCTTCCTTTTAAAGCCTGAATAATATCCCATTGATATGTATATATCACACTTAGTTGATCCTTTCCTCCACTGATGGACATTTGGGTTGCTTCCACCTTTTAGTTGTGAATAATGCTACCACAAATAGTTAAAAATTTAAGAAAGTTCAAACTTATCTAGATAACCATTTATAGCTGTGCATTTAATGTGATTTCATGGTTCCACTGCTCCTATCTCCATTTGTGTTTTTGGAACTACATTGCTTTGTTACAAGCTGACGAGACAAGAATAAAAGACGAATTAATACCAAAAATGGTCCATCTGTGTTAAAATGGAGGCCAATTTCCTGATGACTGTATTAACCAAGGTTTTGTAGAAATTCCAACAGAGGAAAATGGAGGGGAAATTGGTCATCAGTACCTGCAGCAGTACAGGCACAATGGGCGACCAGATAGCCAAGAACATCAGGACTGCAATGTGAACAACAGTATAGTCAGCAGAATGGCATGGGCACTAAATGTTCATTTGGATTTGATTGCTTCTGTGCTTTTATTTATATTTGGTTTGTAAGTTTGTTTTTGTTTTGGAGTTGAATGAAAGCACCAAGAATAAAGAGTTAATACTCAGCTCTATGTGTCTACATATGTTTAAGTAACATTAATTATACACTCTCAGGGAGCAAAGAGGGGAATCCATGAAAAATTCCCTCTAGGATTAGATCAGTGGAAAGTAGCAACCTGGGGACTTTCTTGAAATGACTACCCCAGGAAGCATTGCCCAAAGCCCAAAAGGAAAAGTTTGACAAATTGGACAATTTTTTTTTTTCAGTTTTGGCTGGGGCCAGGCTTGAACCCACCACCCCCGGTATATGGGGCCCACACCCTACTCCTTGAGCCACAGGCACTGCCCCAAATTAGACGATTTTAAAAAAACTTTTGTTTAGCAAAAAATAACATAAAGTAAAAACACCAATAAACTGGGAAGGCTAATTTAAAAAAAAAAATGTTTATGTTGAAATAACTTCATATTTACAGAAAACTTCCAAGAATAGTACAAAGAACCCCTGTGTGCCTTCACTCATATTCCTCAGTTTTCTCACATTTGTCTTCATTTTCTCTTTCCTTATTTACCTATTCATATTTTTTGAGAATTTGAAAGTCAGATGCAAACACTGTATACCATTTACTCTTAGTACTTTTAGTGCACATTTCTGAAAATCTTAGACATTCTTCCAGATCCAGATAATTTCAGGTCAACCATCAATTAACATTGATTCACTATTGTGATCTAATCTGTGATTCCCATTCAAAATTTGCCACTGTCCTAATTATATTCTTTATAGGTTGAGGATCCAATTCAGGACACTTTCCATTTAGTTGCCACGTCTCTGTAATCTCCTTGAGTTTGGACCAGTTCCTCCATCTTCCTTTGACTTTTCTGTCCTTGACACATTTGAAGATCACAGGTCAGTTGTTCTGTAGAATGTTCCTCTTTGTTGGGTTTGCCTATTTCTTTATGAGTAAATGCAGGTCATGTGTCTTGGCAGAATATTCCAGAAATGATCCTGTGCTCTCAGTACATCCTATCAGGAGGCATATGCTGTTAGTTTATTCCATAGCTATTTCTTTATTTCATATTAATATGAGGATACACACAATTAGGTTACATTGTCTGCATTTGTAAGGTAAAGTCCAAATTGTAGTTGAGTCCTTCACACAGGAGGTGTCCCACATACCCCGACATTGTTAGGAGAGAGTTTAATGAACCCCCTCCCCCTGTGGAATGACTAGTAATTTAAATTTTTATCACTTAGCTAAAATGGTGTCCATCTGTCATATTTCTCCACTCTAAAGTTAATAAGTAATTTTTGCTTATTAGTAAACAATATTAGTTGCTGTTCTATGAAGAGGTAGGCTTTCCCTTCTCTTTATTCATTCATTCATTTAATGTATCAGTATAGAGCCCTAGATTTTGTTTTACCCAGTGGGTTATAATCCTTTTATAGTGATTGCTCAAATGTTCTAAATATGTTTAATGGTGGCTCCTTTAGCTTAGGTCCTTTGTTCCTTAGATATACCTCTATTATTTCTTGAGCACTTCCTTACTTTCCTAAACAAGATGATGTTCTGTTCTTTCTCTGCCCCAGCCCTGGAACCAGTCATTGTTTTAGTGAAGAATGTCATTCAGTAATCAAGATCTGTGCACTAGGTGTGCTGACTGCTCTGGGGTTAT